GTAGACCTTCACATAATACAGTTTTTCAGTTGCTTTGGTGCATTTCTCACTACACTATTTACATTTGCACAACTGGTAATCCATTTCTCAAAACAATTTGTCATTTGTGCACATCCTAGTAGCAGTTTCTCATTCTTTTCAACAAATTGCAAATGCTTTTGGACATGCATCAATTGCTTTCATACAACTCTCTGCTATTCATAACATTATCATTTGCTTATGTTATGTCAGTCAAAATTAACTAAACTTGTAAACGCTGAATAATCATTCTATATAAAACTAATAGTCCTCATTTCATTACTTGAGTCATTACATACAAAAATGTTAAACTAGTTGTCAAAATGTGTCAAGCTAATTTTATAAAACAAATTTAAATCTTTTTTTTCCTGAAAATGTCTTTAAAATTGAACAATTTCATGAATGATTTACAGACCTGTGTATGATGCAGGCTCAGTTCCAATTTGTCCTGCAATATTGTTTACAGTTGTGCACAGCTCTACCTAAAGGGAGTTTATGTTTGTTGTTAATAAGAATGTGTTTATTCTTTTGCACAATGCTGGGAATAAATTAGAATTGCAACGAGCATCTGCAGTAAAAGTGTGAAACATACATATTCAGTGTCTTGTACTCAGATACCTCACTCAATGCAGTGATGTCTAACTTTACTGTAGTTTTCAAATAGCTGTGCAAATAGTATACAGTGCTGTCTTGAGCATTTTCAGGAAGTGTCACCAAAATCTGACTTTTTTTGTATTGAAAAAATGTAGAGAGTAAACGTCATAATGAAAACATGGCAAAGACATTTGACTATCTTGTTCATAAACAATGGTGTCAGGACTTTTCATTTTGATGACACTGACACTCTCATTGACATCAATACTTGCTTTTGAGGAATGAACTATCCATTTTGAACATGTGACGCGCTTTTGCAGGTTATCAGCTAGGTTTTGTAGTTTGTACTAATTGTTTTGAGAAATGCAATAAATGTTGCTCAATGCAGTGATGTCTAACTTTACTGTAGTTTTCAAATGGCTGTGCAAATAGTATAAAGTGCTGTCTTGAACATTTTCAGGAAGTGTCACCAAAATCTGACTTTTTTGCAAAAAATGTACATTGTAGTAAACTGTCATAATGAAAACATGGCAAAGCCATTTGACTATCTTGTTCATAAACAATTGTGTCAGGACTTTTCATTCTAATAACACTGACACTTTGATTGTAATCAATACTTGATTTTGTGGAATGAACTATCCATTTTGAGCATGTGATGCACATTTGCAGGTTATCAACTAGGTTTTGCAGTTTTTACTGATTGTTTTAAGAAATTCAGAAGTTCACTTCTGTTGTGAGAAATGAACCAAAGCCACTACGAAAAACTGTAATAACCTCATGTGAAACTCTGAATCTGTGTCTCATTATTATCATTAACATATTATGGTATTTTTATGCTTTAGAAGAGTCAAAAACTTACATACAACACTGTAACAAAGGTTCTTTGTGTGGGAAGAAGAAGACAGGGTCGGCGTTGAGGTAAGTAACAATCTTTTTATTTTTTTAGGAGCAACAAATGACAGCTCCCACTGTGTGGTCGTCGCTCAGCTCTCTCTCCCGACTGTTCCTCCCGTTCTCCTTAAGACGGGTGTCTCTCCGGCCCAATCAGTAGAATAAACAGGTGTTGCTTATCATTTCTGATTGGCCTGCTGATTAGCCGCCAGGCTCTGAGCATGCTCTCCCCCTTTATTGGGTGTTCTATCATGCTTACCCCCCCCCAACCCCCCACCGACCCCCCGCCCTGGAGAGGAAGTCGGCTACAGCCAACTGCGCCCTCGGTCTGTGGATCACCTTGAATTTAAAAGGCTGTAATGCTAGATACCAACGGGTGATCCGCGCGTTGGTATCCTTCATACGGTGGAGCCACTGGAGAGGAGCATGATCTGAACAGAGGACGAATTCCCTACCCAGGAGGTAATAGCGAAGAGTAAGAACGGCCCACCTTATCGCCAAACATTCCTTCTCTATGGTGCTGTACTTAACCTCATTTTTACTTAGCTTGCGGCCAATGTACAGCACCGGCCGTTCCGCTCCTGCCACCTCCTGGGAGAGAACCGCCCCCAGACCCCGATCGGATGCGTCCGTCTGTAAAATAAAAGGGAGAGCAAAATCAGGAGCGTGCAATAGCGGCCCCCCTAAAAGTATAGATTTCACCTTCGAGAAGGCCTGTTGGCACTGCTCCGACCATTGGACGGTATCCGGTCCCTCCTTTTTAGTGAGATCAGTCAATGGGCTGACAAGGGCCGAATAATTAGGGACAAAACGCCTATAAAATCCTGCCAGCCCCAAAAACTGTCTCACCTCCTTTTTGGTCTTGGGTCTCGGACAGGTTGCAATGGCTGCAGTCTTATCAATTTGGGGCTGCACCTGCCCGTGACCTAAGTGGAAGCCCAGATACCTTACCTCCACTCGCCCAATTGCACACTTCCGTGGGTTGGCCGTGAGCCCGGCCCGTCTCAGCGCTGACAATACCGCCCTCAGATGTTGCATATGCCGCTGCCAATCATTACTGTAAATGATGATGTCATCTAAATAAGCAGCGGTATATGCTGTGTGAGGGCCGAGTATTTTGTCCATCAGGCGATGAAACGTCGCCGGCGCCCCGAACAGCACGAACGGAAGCGTCACAAATTGGTGCAATCCAAACGGCATAGTGAAGGCTGTTTTTTCACGGGATATTGGAGATAAGGGGATCTGCCAATAGCCCTTCATTAAATCCAATGTCGAGTAATATCGAGCAGCACCTACCCGGTCGAGCAACTCGTCAATACGCGGCATTGGATAAGCGTCGAATTTCGACACAGCATTCACCTTGCGATAATCCACACAGAACCGGACCGAGCCGTCCGTCTTAGGTACCAAGACAATCGAGCTGGCCCAGTCGCTGTGGGATTCTTCTACTACTCCCATTTTCAACATATTACTCAATTCTTCCTGAATCACTTTTTGCATAGGAATCACTGAATCACTTCTTGTCTGATGGAAATGTAAAAGTTGTATTCATTGTATTTTCTTTTGAATATCAAACATGTATGGAATAACATGACATTTTTACAATACTAATGACTGTTCATGCACTGCTGAGCCCGTCTGGGCTACATTTAAGCATGCAAGACCAGATAAAATCTCATGTCTCCAAGGAACCATGTATTAGATTAAGGCGTACAGGTGCACTTTTCAACCATGAGCAAAAACCAAGAAGAGTGGAACCTAAATGTCAGGTTAATTACTAGGATAAAAAAACGCTATAGCACTGCATATCATTGACCGGTCAACAAACACTGGCAGAGGCACTGGGCATAAGAGTGCTGTGGCATTTGCAACAAGCCTATATGGGATTTAGTAGTAGCTTAAATGAAGGTGTGGACATTACTCCCATAACTCGTCATCAAAATTAAAATACATTTCATTATATTGTGTTTGTATGACACAAAGACAAAGCCCAAGTTTGCACAATGCTTGTGTGTACTGATCTGATCCTATGCGAGTGCATGAAAGTGTTGCATTCCCTTTACATGTGCACAGCATTAGCAAGAAACCACTAAAACACACACAGAGAGAGGGGTGATGAAATCAAAAAGATTTTTGGATCTGACACATACATAAATGAATTTAAGGTGGAATGTGCAAAAATCATGCATGCCTTCTGTGCAAATTAAAATTAATAAATAAATACCAACCTATCCAGCAAATGTTTTACGCAGCAGATGCCCTTTCAGCCGCAACCCATTACTGGGAAACACCCATGCACACTTATTCGCACACATACACTATGGACAATTTTGACTTACCCAATTCACCTGTAACACATGTCTTTGGACTTGTGGGGGAAACCGGAGCACCCAAGAGGAAACCAACGAGAACACAGGGAGAAAGTTGCAAACTCCTCACAGAAATGCCAACTGAGCCGGCTGAGGCTCGAACCAGCGACCCTCTTGCTGTAAGGCAACAGGACTACCTACTGCGCCACTGCATTGCCATTACTTAATTATATAATTTAATGTTAGATTTGTATATATATATATATATATATATATATATATATAGATGGATGTATGGATGGATGGGTGGATGGATGGATAGAAGGACGGATGGATAGAAGGACGGATGGATAGAAGGACAGATGAATGTATGGATGGATGGACGGACAGACAGATGGACAAACAAACAGACAGACAGACAGACAGACAGACAGATTCAGCTTTTTTATTTGTATAGCGCTTTTACAATGTAGATTGTGTTAAAGCAGCTTAACATAAATGGTCATAGTAACTGGAACAGTGTGGTTCAGTAACTGGAACAGTGTGGTTCAGGTTTTAGTGTTTAAGTTCAGTTCAGTTCAGTTTAGCTCAGTTCAGTGTGATTTAATCATTACTGAGAGTTCAAACACTGAAGAGCCAATTCATCGATGCGTAGCTCTACCAATCCTGAACCATGCGAAGCAGTGGCGACAGCGGAGAGGCAAAAAAAACTTAAAACAGATAGATAGATAGATAGATAAATAGATAGATAGATAGATAGATAGATAGATAGATAGATAGATAGATAGATAGATAGATAGATAGATAGATAGATAGATAGATAGATAGATAGATAGATAGATAGATAGATAGATAGATGGATGGATGGATGGATGGATGGATGGATGGATGGATGGATGGATGGACGGACAGACGGACGGACCATTCATAAATGTATGAATCCAGCTATCCATTCATAAATGGATAGATGGATGGATGGATTAATGCACATTATTATATTATATTATATTATATTATATTATATTATATTATATTATATTATATTATATTATATTATATTATTGCGTTTTCTGTTCGAGTGTGTGTGATTTGCAGAGTGTATTGAGTGTAATTGTAGCGTACAGGCATCTTTCGCCAGCAGGGAGTCACAGTAATCAGACTTCAATGTCATTTCCTGTCGGGCAGGCTCGATCTGACTGACTGAGTGAGTGAGTGAGTGCGCGCTGCTGCTGCTGCACAAGAAAACACTGACGAGCGACTCAACAACTTTATCATAACTGGAAATTAACTAAATCTGAGAGGAAAACCTTTTATAACTGTTTACATCTCATGTTTCTTGTCTCCCACTCGCGTAGTGAGAAACGGCACACTGTTTTATCCACTTTACGATGTTTTCTGTCAAGTTTTTCTGACTTTGGGAGAGCTTGAAGACGAAGATAAATATCTTGATTTATACAACGCTTGATATCACAAAGCAAGCAAACAAAAGAGGAACAACGAGTGTCAACGTTGATGTAAATAAAGAAAGTTTAATAGTTGAAGAGAGAGAGAGAGATACATGAAGAGAAAGAAAGGACTTTTCCCCCGCTGAACGGGACACTTGAAAGTTTGTTTTGCGCGAGCATTAAAAGATGCATCACTGAAACAACACTGGTTCCGAGCGACCATTGCAGGTAAGACTTTTGGACTTTTCTTGTTTGACATTTGTGTCATGGTTGCCTATAAAGTGGACCGTGGACACGTTCAACAGGTTTGAGTGAGTTTCAGCAGGAGCGTGCAGAGACTCGCCACAGACAAACCACAGCATGAAAACTAACAGACTCATGTTGTTTGTTGTTTCGTGATTCATACACCATTATAAGGAATCTAATTCTTATTAATGGAGTTTTTAGTTGCTATAAAGCTATTTAATCATCGCACGACCTTCATTTAAGAGGTAAAAAAGTAATATTTTTTTCAGCACATGATATTTTAATTAAAGTACTTGCACGCTCGCCACAGGAATGCCATGGTTTAAACATCAAAACAGTTTATTCCTTTATTTAGCTAATGTTTTCAATCTTTAAACCAGTGTGTTGAATCCTAGCACAGCAGATATTAATTCTGTTTGGCAGCATTTCTCAACATCGTTGTGGCATTTCAGTTTTTTTTTTCTTCTGCCAAGCATTATTATTTCCCAAGCCGCTGGTGTTTTTAAGTACTTTGGCCCACTGACATAAGCTGAACAATAGCAGGGTGATAGTGGGAACAAGGACAGCTGTGTGTTCACAGACCTGATTTCTTAAGTGAGATTTTTTCTTTTTTGTAGGGTAATTTCTAGTCACCTGGCATCTGGGTCCAGAACAGATGTCCAAAGAGGACCACAGCCATAGTGCCAGCCCACCCGAACCTCCAGATGGAGCCCAACCGGAGAGACTGTCGGATGAAACTGTCTCAAACCCAGGTACAAGAGACACTAGCAAACTATTTTTTTTTTTTTTTATGAAAATCTTTGGATGATTACCACTCAATCACATACAATAGCTAATGAACTCTGATTGTAGGCAGCCATTTAAAGTTGGCTTCTAAGGGTGCTTTCACACCTACACTTTTGTTTCGGAACGTATCTCGTTTGCCCAGTTAGCGCGGTTCGATTGGCATATGTGAACAGGGCAATCGCGCTCTGTTCCGCGCCAAAGTAATCGCTCCGAGATCGCTTGAATGAGGTGGTCTCGGCTCGATTGAAACGAACCCTGGAGCGGTTTGATTACAGTGAGAAAGCGATCCGATCCGAGCGCGGTTATATCACAGTGTTTTATGGATATGTAATAGGCTTACGGCTATATGAAGAGAGAATTATGAGTAGGGCGGGAAGTTTCGCGAGTCTCCGGATGCCCGCAAACAAGTGATGATCTCCCGGTAATCTCGTGTCTCTCTCCCCGTCCTCAAATAGGCATCATCGTGCACCCTTCTCACCCCTCCCCACCGTGTCTCTCCCTCAGACACGTCATGCGCGCGCACCCTGTCAATCACCACCAAACCACCACCTCTCCTGACAGCTGAGCGTGACGCTGCAAAATAAACCCTGACACTCTGACCAATGTAAGGAGAGTTTACTCGCACGTGACTTGTTTTAGCGCTTTTGGTCCGATTAGAAACTTTGCAGTGTGAAAGCGAACCGCTCCAAGAGCAAAGAGCAACAATGTAACAATTCTAATCTCTGTTTCGGAACAACTGAATCGATTCACAGGTGTGAAAGCACCCTTAGAGTCTATTTACACTACAATAGGTTTTGCATGTTCATTTTCATGATAAAAGTGTTTTGGGAAATGTAAATGCATAATTGTAAACAGTGGATTCAAATCACAAGTCTTTAAAAATGCCAAAGTTATAGTTTTATGTAAACACCAGTAAAAACAGCAAGATCATGCAGGTGCGTAGTACATATATTACTAATACATCTTAAATATTGTGTCAATTTTAAAGGCACTTGTGATCAAACAAAAACAACTATGGCAGAGAACATGTAGATTTATTGACAGAGCAGCGTGTAAAATTACCAATTCAAATTTGCCAACTTTATAAACTATATTCTAAATTCTAAACACACATCAGTGACGATGGCATCTTTAAACAACATTTTTGGATCATCCCTGGGAGAACAAGCCCACAAAGGGTATATCCATTAAGGTAATGTTTACTAACAAGGTATCAATGCCAAGTACTGAGGTCCCTTCTTTGTACCTTGCTTATATGATCTAGGATGATTTGGCAGATCCTGGATCATTGAGTTCTTCAAACAAGTCTGGGAATCAGATTAAAAAATATAAAAAGCTGCTTTATAGTTTCATGTGTCAAGATTACTTAGCAATTTATTTAGTTTTACTTTTAAAACAAATTTTCTTTATTATAGTAGGCCTATTCAAGTTTAATCAAAAAAAGCATTTTGATATTGGTAAGTGTCTGAAACTTTTGCGAAGCATCAAATCACTGCCAAACTAGCTGTCAAAACTTGTGCATAACTGCTTTAACTATTATTACTTTCCTTTAAAAAAATGACAATATTGGCCATGTCTATTAATTATACTAAAGCAGGGTTGGCAGTATGCGTTTGTATCTATAAACATTTATATTAATAAATGTTTTTTTAAACACTTGTGGAGAGAACACTATTATAGCTAAATATCATTTTTAAAAACGATTTTACTATTTTCCCCAGTGCACATAATCTATTACTACTGTAAGAAAATATCAGCATTGGGTACATACTTTCAGTCCCACCTTTGCTTGAAATGGCCCGATCTAATCCTGATTATTTGAAATTAGCCTGCTCCCTAGCAGGTTTAAGCTACCAGACCTATTGTTATGACAGCAACTCTCGGATGAGTTTTGAAGAACGAAACGATCCTGGATCGTGTCAAATTGTCAGTAACCAAATCTAGCAAATTGAGTAATCCATGTATGAAGAATGGACCCCTGGCCTATCATACTTGATCCAGCATTTGTTTTAGTTTTCATGTATGTGTAAACAAAAATCATTTTGAAAATATCATTTAGAAATGATTTTTTTTTTGTGTGTACTTGTCAGTTTTTGACTACCACGTAATTTAGATGTAGCCTTAAAGGACACTTTTATACTTTTTTTTTAATTTATCATTCAGTTTTTGTATGTTTGTTCTGTTTGGTAGCATGCATGAAAACAGGCGCTTAATGTATGCACTCTAGAAAGCTTCATCTTCAGCCATTGTCTGTGCTTCCCAAATGTTATGACAGAAACAGTTGCTGGTTTCTTTGAATCCACTCACACAAGGATTCTTCAACATGGGTGTCTGTTGTTTTTGCGATCCAAAATATTTTGTTGTTGTTGTTCATCTACTGTTATTTGCTGACTCTTTACTTTTTGGACTGATACAACAGTCTGATTCAACCTGCAACTTGTTGAAAAATGAAGTAGTGCAAAAACGTTTCAAAGTGCATGTGCGGACTGTTAGTACATTGGATGACTCACGTGTACAGACACTCGTAAAGTATATAACAGAAGTATATTTTGGGTTTAAGACATAGGTAAACGTCTGACTGTTTCAAAAGGAAGACAGCTTAATTATACTTCCTGCTAAGATTCTTTTTTTAAACCAAATTGCAGAGTAGAATCTCATGTATGCTTTGTTGAGAAGACAATGCCTGAATGCACTGCTTCGAGCTTGCTGAAGAAAAAATTAGGGACAATCATTAAAAAAAAAAAAAAAACTCAAATTAAACAAAGATTTGAGAAATACTATAATATATATGTCTAAAAATAATGTGGGGCACAGTGTTTAAGTTTGCTTGCAGCTTTTCTTTGGAAACTGCCGAGATTCAAAATTAGGAGGTTTTAGTCATCTGCTTCTCATCTGATCCTGCTGTGGTTGGGTTCTTGCTACGATGATTTCTGTGCAATTCAGTGTGATGATGACTCTGTAATGAGATGTAAATTCACTGGGGCCAGTATGATTGCTGTCTTCTGAAATGCCTTTTTTTGTTTGCTTATTTTGTTCAGAAAAGATGCAGATGTCTGAGAGAGCCAAAGTACACTTATAAGCTAGCTAAAGCTGCATTCAAAATCAAAAAAATATAATCAGACAATAATGAAGTTGAGATGATCATTCTGTAATTTTGGAGCCGCTTGCATAGATTCTGTGGTAACTACTGCTACAGTTCATATTTCTAGTAAAAGCTGCTATATTCTGAAGTATGTGAAAATACCACACATAATAAAATCTCTTTACACCAAGCTACTTCATTATTCAGTCCAGTGTTTGAAATAAATCCTTCTGTAAGATGATTTATATATCTGTGTGCATCGGTGTAAAGTAACAAATTACAGATACTCAAATTACTGTATTTCAGTAGTTTTTCTCAGGAATTGTAATTTACTAAATAGTTTTAAAAATTAATACTTTTACTTTTTCTTGTACATTTTTAGTATGTTTTTTTACTCCACTACTTTCCTTTAATCCTGCAGTCACTACTTTATTTTTTCTTGTCCATGGGGATTGGCCAAAGTGAAAAAATCTGAATCAGTCTGATCAAATAGCACATAAAAAGTAAATTGAATCATACTGAACAATATCAAGACAGGAGCGCTTTATAAATGCAGCAAACCTTTTCGAAGCATTAAAATGTCCTAGAAAATTGTCCAAAAATCTTGTCAAAATCAATGACCCAGAAACTTTTTATAGACAGGCATGTCACTGATGAGAAAATTAAGGATGTTGACTGTATGATGACTAAAATCACTAAACAGCCTTAAACAATCAATAAATGGAACAAATAAAGAATGGAAGGAAGGACCAAATAAAGGAAGGACTGAACAAGGAATAGAAGGAAGACCCGAAGGAAGGAAGGACCAAACTAATGAAGAAATGAAGGAACAAATGAACGAACGAATGAGAGGAGGAATGAAGGAAGGACAAAATAAATGAAGGAAGGATTCAAGGAAGGACTGAACGAACAAATGAATTAATGAACAAAGGAACAAATGATGGAAGGAACTAAAATCTAAATAAATGAATGAGCAAATGAATGAGGGGACGAACGAAGAAAGGAACAAATGAATGAAGGAAAAACAAACAAACTAATGAATTGAGGAAGGAATGAACAAACAAACAATGGGAGGAAAATTAGAAGGAACGAATATTGACCTTATTCTCCGCAGACGAGCGGGCGCTGCCATTTGAATCTTTTTGGCATGAGACTTCCGGTCTCATTCACTTCCATTCATTTTTAGACATTAAAAACTGCTCGTTTCGCTGTTTGATGTTGCAAACTTATATTTCCTTGTTATATTATTCTACTTGGTCTGTATAGTCATGCAAACATTTGTTTGTAGAGCAAGTAGTTTGACCGTTTTTTGCCGTTTATTATTTCTTGTCATTTCTCCCATAGGCGACTGAAACGGAAGTTCTAAGACAATCGCAAAAACAGGCGCACTTCCGCATTTTAGAATAAGGTCAATAGGAATATCACTGAATGCACCACAGAATATTACCTTTACACATCCCTGCACAAACTGCCTGAAAATGCACCAACTTTTCACAGTGTAATACTCACTAACCTTGAGTATTTTTAAAAGGGCAATTAATGGTACTTTTAAGTATGATTTTTCAGCACTCTTTCCACCACTATTTGTGTGAAATGACAAGTAGTTAAATTTTCTGCTAGTAATGCAGTGTTTTTTTCGGGATTTCCTGGGTTTTGTTTGTGGGTATTTTGAATTACCATGTTAGAGTAGAAAATATTTATTACTGATCACACAACCATGCTTCCCTGATGAAATGTGAATGACAACCGCAGCTTTACTTTATCATGTTTGCTATTTGTATTTTGGTTAATCATCCAGCCCCACTGTTAAATATGGATGACGCAAGAAAATGAATATATATATATATATATATATATATATATATATATATATATATATATATA